CTCTCAATCATTATGTAGAAGAGTGCTGTTTAATTTCCCCAATATTGAAGGCAATCATTGTCTTCAAGTTTATTTCCAATTTTCAGCCAATTAAATCCTCATGTCACTTTTGCAATAAAACAATCTACAATGTATACACTTACTTATTCATTTAACTGCCATTTTGCATAAGTTCATATTTCATAAGTTTATTGAGTCATTTTCACAACCCATTTCATTCAGCACGACACAAATAAAAAACCAGTCCACACGTGACTCTCAACATAATCGTTCATGAATTATTTCTTTACTGATGAGAATTTTGCGATAATCTTTCAAACATTTATGTCATTTAAGGTGAAATGCATGTGATGTGATGAAAATCATTTGCTTATTAAAATATCAAAAGAACGCATGTAGTTGTACAATTAAATGTCAATGTCAATCGGATGTTGGTTGGAAGGAGAAAGGGATGTGGAGACCATGAAAAAGGGGGTTGGTTGCAAGTGACGTTCACAAAAAAATTTATTTTTAAACATAAACTCCAACAGTGTCTAGAATAGTGGTTCAAAAACATTTAAGGACCAGTTACTCTTGCTCACTTAGTTATGGTTGAACCCAAGATTGTGTTTCATTGAATTTGATCCTCGAATTTTACTGCAAATGCCATGTATTTGTGATGACAAGTGTGTCACGAGACAATGTTTAATTAACACTGATTTACACTAAAACAGCTTCAAAAAAATGATAAATTTCGAACATGTTACTGCAAAATGATGATTGGAGTTAAGCTAAAGGAGACTCTGAAAATAAATTTTGATTCTGCATACTTAGACCTTATGTAAGTTTTTTTATAAATTTAATATCGGAACAAGTTTTTAGACTCCAAGATGAGCAATTTCATTAGAATTTTCCTAAAACATTTCAAAAATATTTATGAAAGTTAAAATCACTTAAATATATCATTGTCCACATACCTTACTTCCTCTGCATGTTGTAAAATTCTATTTTTCTAGAAATGTTTATCCTCAAGAATTCCTATCTCAAAAAATATATTTTACGTCAACCGCATGACAATCATAAAATTCCCAAAAACACATTTACTCCCTATGACATTCAATTCAGTACTAACCGATCTTTTCTCACTGTTCAAACTTCCTGAACCTCGATGATAGCATGCGCACTCGCCGACAAATGATAAATCTCCGTTTTAACATCTTCTAACCTTCTTATAATAAGTTTATTATTCTGTTTCGTCGATTTTATTCATGAGTGTGTTTATTCATAAAATGAAAAGATTTTCCCTCGACTTTCTCTTCTTCTTCCTGTTTCCTATTCGATTTGCTTTATGTGTTCTTGCATTGAAAATGAGTTGGATAAGGCTGGGGTGAAAGGGGATATTTTTTGAGAAATTTTGATATTGTGGGGTTAATTTTAAATTGATTAATTGAGTTTAGAAAAATGAAAAAATTTAAAATTAATTTTTAAAAATTGAAAAATTATTATTATTATTATTATTTATTCAATTAGTTTGAGAAATTGATTTCTAAAGAATAAAAGTTTAAATTAAAAATTAAATTTGGAAGAATTAATAAAAAAATTTGATCAACGAAAAAAAATTAAAAAATGAAATTTTTTAATATCGAAAATGATATTTTTTAAATCAAAATTTAAATTTTTTAAAATCAAAAATTGAAATTTTTTAAAATAAAAATTAAAATTTTTTAAAACCAAAACTGAAGTTCTTAAAAATCAAAATTTAAAATTTATAAAAATTAACCTAATATGCCTCCAAAAAATCAAACACAAAGAGCTATCCAAGCTAATGAATAGCAAATAATTGAATTCATTCCCTCCTCACCCACTTGCACTAAAGACATGAACCAAGAAAACTTTATTTCTCTCATTCTATTCTCATTTTAATTTCCATTCGAAATTTTCTGTGTGCATAAAAATATAGTTTGTGGATCATAATCGCTGAAAACATAAGAATGCCTTTTTTAATTGAATAGAAGATGAAAAAGAGAAGCAGAAAGAAAAACCTTATTGTGGTTGTCGTTATTTTCATTTTCTTCATTTAATAATTTTTGCTGCTTTTTTCGAGTTTAGTGGTTTTTTTGAGGAATGTTGACGGAGGCGCTGGAGGTTCAGTTTGGGCTATGATTGAAGATTTAAGAGAGTTTCTCATTCCAGCATCTACAGAAGAGAAGTGTGAAGAGTTTCTTAGCTGGAATTATTTTAAGGAGGTGCCAAATTATTGACCTACACTTAGGCAACAAACACCATTGCTACATCTCAAACCAAAAGCATCACAGCGTAAGGAAATAGCTATTCTGGTCCAAGGACTATATTTATAATTTATTTAAAGCTTACATCCTCTCCCTTCTTTAGCTCCGCGTCTTGAATTTCTCAATTTTTAAGTTGAAACAATGCGCCTACAAACCATCAAGCACCCCTGACATTCCCAACTTATTCTACCATGCCATGCTCCTCTCAACTTTTGCTTTGCTTTGCTATTGTTGAGGGCGCGCTGGAATAATTTAATGTATTAATTTTGATATTTTTATTTTCGTTGAAGCAAGCAAAGAAGCTTGGTCTTATGGTTCCATCTTCTTCTGCTCTTCATATTCTATCTTTTTGATATTTCTGATTTTCATTTTTAGCTTTTTGCTTTGGTTAGACACATATTTATAAACATCTACAACAAAAAGAAATAAAATAAAAGTTAGAAAATGAGTGAGTGAGAAAGAAAGAGAGAAATATTAAATAAATAGAATTGGGTCACTATTTGCATCCGGCATTTGTCGAATGAGGAGAGAGGAGGAGGAAAAATAGCAGAATGAAGAGAAATTTTTTGCTGATGCGGTTGTTTTCGTTTTGGTGGAATATTAAATTCTTGGCCTTGCAGCTATGGTGAAGGCTTGAATTAGATAGAAGATTTTTCATCACTTCTCTTTTGCATATTTTCAAGGTTTAAGGAAATATCTTGTTAGCTTAAATCGTTGCAGAAATAATTGAGCACATGTGGATTTTAAGGGTTGGAGAAAATTTAATAACTCTATAGGATGGAGGCGGGGTTGAAATATGTGAGAAATAAATGATATTGGAGGTCTGAAGACACATAAATTGATGATCATCTAGTAAAGCAGGTTAAAAGTTTCTACTAAAATTTGAAAATTCAAATAAAGATTAGTTGAATTTTTCAGAAAAGACATTTATCTAGAGATTCAAAAACAATATTAGACAATTTTTTTTGACCTTACTTAACTCTTTTCATGGCTAAACTAGCTTTAACATTGAGTCTGTAAATGCCCGAATGGTAGAAGTCGATTAATTGATCAGAAATCCGGCACCAATCTGGTGTGACTCTGACATGATGCTGGGTTTTAATCAAAGCAAATGATTTTTAATAAACAATAATCCTAAAATTACATCCCTCTGTATTTGTTGTAAGTAAACATAATTGCAAAATGGCCATAAGATATTAAATTAAATTAGAAACTTTCTGTAAACACTTAAATGAACAAACTTGGTTTTAGTAAACAAATATTTGCAAATTTATGGAATATTAAATGTATATCCGTTGGCCAATTCTTTTGAATTGAGAATATTATGATTAAGTTTAAAGCTGTTTAAATTCAAAATTTCTTTGACAAAAATTGAAAGTCTCAAAAAACCAAATCCCTTCCCCACCTCTTCCATCCATCTCCATCAGTTAACTCAAAACTTGAAGCAATTGATGCTCTTTTGCAGCTTCAATCTCATCACAAAATCAGCATCAATTATTCATTCCTCTTAGTCGATAATCACAAAAATGCAATCACAATTCCTCTTATCTAAACAAAAGATTCAACAAAATCCATTCATTTCCACATCCATATCCTCCACTACATTTATACACCAAATTAAATTCACATTATTGAATTTTATGAGAATCAAAAAAAAAAGAAGAAAGTAAGGAAAACAAACTCTAAGAATAAAAGAGAAAAATCCATTTTGCAATCTTGTGTAAATGTTTGTCTTATTTCTCTCAATTGCAATATCCACACATGAATGTAAGTACATCCTTATGCTATTATATTTGAAAGTCCATTTGGATTCATAGTCGCCATTTACAACCCCAAATGCATGCCATTGTTCTTATTTTCTTATTGAATTTTCGGACGTAAAGATGCAGCAACAAAGGAAACTTGTCGATTCTTGAGAATGTGTGGAGTCTTTTGTTTAGAGAGAGAATCTGTTATTGTTATTGGAATTGATTGCGACTGGAATGAGTTTTGGTTTTGAAATTTTAGTTTTTTTCTTTCACAAATTCTTACTGCATCGACTTTTAAAAAAAATCTTTTAAAATTATGAAAATTCAAAAAATTCAAAAATTCAAAAATTCAAGAATTAAAAAAATTCATTAAAATAAAATAAATTCAGAACTTAAAACAATTCAAAAATAAAAAAATTCAAATATTTTTAAAAAATTCAAAACTTTTCAAAAATTTCAAAAAAAAAATTCGAAAAATTCAAAAATTCAAAAATTAAAAAAATTCATAATTTTAATAAAAAATCAAAATTTTTTAAATTTTAGAGGTTTAATAAAATCAATAGCATTTTTTCCAATCACAAACTCCACATCAAGCACTTTATTCACTGATAAAAAAGTCATATAAGTCACACAAAAATAGCAAAAAAAATAGTCATCAATTTTTCATAGCACAATAAAGTTAATCACCCAACAATTCAATACACACTCGTTGACGGCTAATTGAGATTTCAATCACATTTAAGTTCAGCATGTAAAACACACACAGCAGCTGATTAATATCAATTATTGCATTATTATTTAATTGAATGTTCGAATATTTGTTTATTTGTGTTTGGTCATCGAATGCAGTCGGTGATTACATGAATGTAGGCTAGATAACTTGTGGAATGAGAGATTTTTTGATGAGCATGGAGTTGGAAATTAAAGACTTGATTTTTTACGTCAATTGTTTGTGTTCTGAATTTTTATTCATAATGACACTGTATTAAGCTTCAAACATGTCACCATACGCTCGTCTACATTCCTTCAGAATTTTTCCATTGACTTCAAATTCTGATGCAAAAGTTGCTCTCCAACGTCCCATATAATAAGAGGGAATTGAGTTAAGCATCATTTGATTGAACGTTATTGGAATCATGTTGAATTCCCAGAACTCCTGATGATAAAATGGCATAATTCATTCTCTCCTTATGCACAATGCTTTAAATCACTTACCCCACCTTCCATAGGACATCCAGCAACATCCTTAAAAACATCATAAACAGGTTCCATTGGACTCTTTATACTTGTACAAACATCTTTGTATTTTCTATTAATAGCCTGAACATGCCATTGACCACGTTCATATCTTTCAAATATTAATGAGCCTATCCATGGGGCTCGCAAAGGCCTGATAAACTTCCATTTTCCATTGAGAAATGTGTGAGTGTCATTTTCAGGAATTAGTTTGAGTTCGGAAAAGTCAGAAACATTGGCGATTTCATTTTGAGGTGTGCAATCTTCAAGGACTGAAAAATATTTGTAATTAATTGAATTTAGTTGAGGAGCATGGTTAATCTCTTACTTTGGTCAGGAATGATAATGACCCTAGCTGATACTAGAAATAAATATCCTAATAAGCAAGACGGAATTATAAATAAAAACTTCATGATTCGATTGATTTGGCAAACTAATGTGAAATTTTTTTTTGATTTCAATTTTATAGCTTTAATTTAGATGCTAATTGATTTAATTTAGTATTGATTACATTTTGATTGTTAATGACTTTTAAGGTGTGAATCAATTTTTTGTGATTTAGATTTGCTGAGCAAAACAATGTTAACATTTTATGTTGATACCATGCTTCGTCCTCATCAATGAGCTCTTGTTGCGAGTCAATACAGTCATTCGTTTTGACAAGAGATTTTTTTATAAAAATGCTAGCAAAATGAAGAAGTTTTTGATGACGAAGGGGTATTTGAAAGCAGACCCCCCTCCCCTTGGCTACGCGCCTGTAAAAATCTTAAGTGTATTTTACCAAATTTAAATTTTAGAGAACGGGCTGATTAAGGCACCCTAAAGAAGGACAATTTCTAAATTCTTATTAAAAGAGTTTCTGATCCTAACCCATCTGTAAAACCAGTGAGAACAAAACCAAATAGCAGTTTATGTTACATCAACTTTTATTTTGAACAAATCATTTTTCTATATAATCTTATTCTTCATACACATCAGCATAAACTCTTTTGCATTCAATAAGTACCTTAGCACCATCACCTTCAAATTCTGAGTAAAACGTTGCACGCCATCTGCCCACGTAATGTGGAGGAATTGTGTTTAATAAAAATTCTGGGAATGTTATTGGAACCATATCGAAATCCCATGCACTCTATAAAATCAATGTAAGTAAATTGTTGTTGAAATTTTAATGAAATTATGGCTTACTCCAGCAGGCATTGGACATCCAGCAACATGCTTAAAGATGTCATAAACAGGCTCTGTAGGTCTATGTAAAGTTGGACAAATGTCTGTGTAGTTTCGATTAAAAGCTTGAACTAGCCACTGTCCACGTTCATATCTTTCAGTTATCAATGCTCCTGGCCATGGAATATTTAATGGCTTGCTAAATTTCCACTTTCCATTAGCAAACGTGTGAGTGTCATTTTCAGGAATTAATTCAAATTCTGAAAAGTCAAAAATCCCAGCATATTGATCTTCCGGCGCACAATCTTCAAAAACTGTAAAATCAATTGGATTTTTTTGGAATTGTTTAATATTTGCCTTAATTAATTTTACTTTGGTCAGGAACGATGAGCACTCGCGCAAAAGTGGCAAAAACACATACAGTTAAGAGAAATGAGATAATATTAAGGAATTTATGGTTCATTTTCGGTAAACTTTCAAGCTAAACTAATTCAAAAATTTAAATCACACTTCAATTTATACGAGCATTTTAATTAAAAATCAAGATAAATATTTTTGATTAAAAGCTTCTCTGTTTGATATGATCAATTGCAGTTGATTGGGCCGTTAAGTATTGAGTTGTACAATTTGAACAAATAGTGACTGTGACGAACAAGAGGTCTATGTCACTTATTCTACATTATCTAAACTAATTTTACTTCAGCATTACATTTCAAATTTTAGCAAAAATGAGGTGATCAGTTCCTCTTGACCACGACAATGAGAATCGGCATGAAATCCCCCCAAAAAGCTTCTTTCCAAACAAAATTCTCAAGCATTATTTACAGAAAAACTTCATTAAGTTCTTTATTGTAATTATTCCTCAAAAACATCAGCATAACCTCTTTTACAATCCTTAACTTTCTCGCCGTTAATTTTAAAATCACTGGTGAATATGGCTCGCCAACGTCCAACATAATGCGGAGGAATCGTGCTCAAAATTGATTTCGAAAAGATTATTGGCTTCATGTCAAATATCCATGTGGACTAAAATTTAAATAACATTTATGTCAAATTATTAAATGTTGAAATATTTGAATTCTACCCCTTTCTCAGCAGGACATCCAGTCATGTCCTTAGTAAATTCATAAAATGGCTCAAGTGGATTATGAAATGTCGCACAAATATCAGAATATTGCCTGCTAAATGCCTGCATAAGCCACTCGCCACGAACATATTTTTCAGTTGTCATACTTCCACGCCATGGACTCGCCAATCGATGTAGAAATTTCCAAGATCCATTTGTGAAGGTGTGCGTGTCATTGACCGGAACTAGTTTAAAGTTTGAGAAGTCAAATACTCTTGCATTTTCTGATCCTACAGTGCAGTCCTCGAATTCTGTGGATTGAATTTTTGAAGACTTGTTTAATTTATTTTTAATTAAAAAATTAAGCAACTCTATTGCTTAAAGTCACGCGTCCCAACAACTCACAATTAAGGATTTAGCACTGAATTGAATTCAGAATGTGTAAATTTTATGAATTAGTCTTCTGTGGCAAAAAATCTTGTTAGGCCCCTGGACCCCCCCCCCCCCTTCCCTTCCCCCCTCTCTCTATAAACCAAGAATATTCAAGTAAATAAAGATTAAATAACTCACTTTGATCAGGAATAATAACCACTTTTGCTTCCAGCATTAAAATTATTATCATAGCAACAAAAAGTCTAGTCAAGCAGACATTTAATAAGGTTTTTATTCCGTTCATGAACAAGCTTTCTTATAGACAAGAACTCCTAAAAGCTTACCTATTTATAGTAGCATCAAATTTAAATTTTTTATAATTGTTAATACTTAGTAGCAATCAATTAACATCAATAACGACTATCAACAAGATTTGTAGATTAATTTTCAACAAATAAGCTCTGTAATTGATGTTTAAAAGGTTCATCAATTACTTAATGATTTAATTCAATGAATATAAATTTTTCTGTTACAAAACGTACACACTTTTAGACTTTCCATGCAGGGGTGTAGCATTATTGAAAAAAATTCTGCCTTGTTACGGTTAAAAAGGCATAAAATTCAGAATCACTAAAATACAATAAAATCCATTACCAAACATAATTAACCTCACAAAATGATCAACATGTAAATAATTTCGTCATAATTAGCATCAAAACATTTCTAAAATCAATCAACAAGTCTCAAATTACTCGCAGCATCATCATCAAAACATCAGCATGTAAATGTGAGAAATTATTGATGATAAAATGAATGTCAAATGCAATTTATTTGCTATCAAACATTACGATTTAATTGCATTCTCATTATACATTTTCTATTATTTGCTTATAAATTTTACATGAACTCACATCAATTGAATTCAGTATTAATTTTGATTTTAAAGAGCATGCAACATATGGAATTTTTGAAGCTGTCAATTTTGATTGCACAATTGATTTGTGGAGTTTGTGGAAAGGTTGTAATTATTCCTGATACAAGTAAGTTAATTGGCCATAAATTATTGTCGCAATGATGAGTGATGCAATGATTTATTGCGCGGCACTTGAAGTTGTACGACATTTGATTGAAATGTAAAGTGAGCGAGGATAATTAAGATTTAATGGGTTTACTCAAAGGGATGGCAGTTCAAAACCTTAAAAAGGAATTCATCTAGAAACTTCAAACTCTAAAATCTAAAATCCTCTCTAATTTCTATACAGAACTTGAAGACTGCACAAACTCCACTGAAGCAGCGAACATTTTTGATTTTTCTCAAATCGACTTAATACCAGAAACTGATGAGCATGTTTATATAAATGGAACATGGAAATTTTTAAAAGAACTTAAAAAACCATGGAAAGCTCATTTGCAGCTAGAAAGGTATAATCGAGGAGAGTGGCTTGTTCAAGCTTTAGACAAAGATTATGATGATTTCTGTGAACCGCTTCATAGAATTACTGAGCCATGGTATTACGCATTTGAAGGCAAAGAATCATGTCCAGTACCTGCTGGAGTAAGTAAAATGTTGAGCATAATTTTTTAAAATAAGATATAACTTTAATCATTTCAGACTGAATGGTTTTTCGACCATGTTTTAATTAAATTCCCTGAGGCACTTTTAGATGCAGTTCCATCTCACTATATGGGACGCTGGCGTTTCGTAATGATTGCAATTTTTGATGAAGACGATGGAAGCTCAAAAAAAGATTGTAAAAGAGTTTATGCAGATGTCTATGAAGTTTAACAAATTATACTTTTTTTCTGTTTTTAAATCTTTAATGTCGATTACAAATAAAATTGAAAATAACAGAGCTTTAAGAGGCCGTTCACTTATGACGTCCAAAATTAACGGTAATTTTCAAAAAACAACAAACGATTTTCAGGAATTTCTATTGATCTTTTCTTGCTTACTCACCCCCCCCCCCCCCTCCCTCCCCCCTCCTAGACGTCATATGTGAACAGTCCCTACTTCTTCATTCACTAATGACATATATTCTATTTTAATCAAAGTTGTGATCTAAATTTGACTATTATGAACGTTGAATAATAATTTTGTTTGAAATTTTCATCAAAATAATAAACTGATAAAAAAAGATTGTTTGTTATTAACGACTTAATTAATGCAAATATAAATTTCACAAATAAGCATAAAATTTATTGGAATTCCATTCTCGCAAATGCATAGCTGTGTTGAACTATACATAATAGCCATGAAGAAGTTAATTTTTGTTTCTGCTACATTTTTCATAGCCTCTGGAAAAGTCATAATAGTTGTAGATCAAAGTAAGTCCTTAACTGTACAGATACGTGGTCATGAGGTTTATAAGGATTCAGATCAGGAGGGTCTTACTCACTTGCTTGCCTTACTCACATGTCCGTAATGATGAAAAGTGATCCATAGCTTCCAATTAATTTCGCTTAAAACTGGACCTCCTGACTACTTGATTTTTAAATTTATTTAAATCATAATTTTTCTCAATTCAGAAATGGAAAGATGTTCAACGTTTGATGAATTGCCTTTCAATGATCTATCAGGGCTTGAATTCATACCAGTAAATGACACACATACATTAGTAAATGGAACATGGAATTTTATGAAGGACCTCAAAAGTCCATGGCCAGTTCATTTCTTTGCTGAGCATTAGGTACAAGGCCAATGGCTAGTACAGGCTTACGATAGGCACTACAAAGATTTTTGTGATTCATTGAAAAATCCAATTGAGCCATGGTACTTTATGTTCAAAGATAAAAAAGGTTGTCCTATAAAGGCTGGTGTAAGTTAAGTTAATTCGTGCATAGAATTCAATAATGCAAAAAAATTAATATTTTCAGAAAAAATGGATTTTTAATATGATGCCGATATAGTTTTCACCAATGCTACTGAACAACATACCACGTCATTATATGGGACGTTGGCGATTCACGACTAACACTAAAATTATGGAAAATGGAGTTTTAAAAAGTGAATGCACAAGAGGATTTGGAGATATTTATGAAGACTAAATCAAATATGATTTAAAGTAGATTTTTCATTAAATTAAGCGTTTGAATTTCAAACATTTTTGAACGAATTTTGACAGGATTTCAGAAAAATCTAATATCAAGACTTAAACCAAGGCTTGGAAACTAGGAGGTATACCACAAAATACCCCCAAGGTCCATAAAAATACCTCCAAATACCGCCTTAAATCATATGAAATACCGCCTTTAAAATCAAGGGTGTGGTACTGATGAAATGATCAAAAATGATCAAAAAATGATCAAAAATGATCAAAAAAGATCCACACCCTTGTTTAAAATACCGCCTTGTTTCCGAGCATAGACTTAAACCCCTTCCTCTCGTATGAAGTACAAACAATTCTGAGGAAATTCTTAAAAAGTCTCAGGCAATCAAGAAAATGCTTTATTCAAAAAAAAACCCTTGGGAAACTCCTTGTCTAAGCTGCGTCGCAGATTAAAAATTTTCAAACAAATTCAGAGACAACTTCGTGATTTTGGAACATTTTGGCCTCAAAATCGATGTTTTCAGCAATATTCTACAAAGTTACAAAATGTCAAACACATAAATCACCTAAAGTTTGCTTATCAATGTGATTTAGATGCAAATCATCGATTAATATTGCATATAATTGACAAAAAATGTTAAATATGACAGGTATAAATTGATCAGTAATTGCCATAAATTCGTCAAAGTAATTTAATAGTGTGTATTGATCAACAACATCAAAACAACACAGTAAAGTAGTTCAAATGTTAAAAATATTGTCAATTTTGTTTGTAGTTTTTATGGTCCAGGCAAAAGTGTTATTTGTCACCGACCCAAGTATGATCACACATAGCTGTAAAACTAATTAATTTACTATAAATCTTCTTCCAGAAATCGAATGCTGCATAAAAACCGACAGATCAACAGTCAATGATCTTTCAGAGTTAGAATTGATTCCAGAAAATGACACCACGACATTTATAAATGGTTCTTGGAAGTTTACAGCAGCAGTTGCAAGTCCATGGCCAATGCATATTTTTGCTGAGCATTATATTCGTGGAGAGTGGCTGATTCAAGCTTATGATCGACATTATAAAGATTTTTGTGATGCAATTAAAAATCCCGTTGAACCTTGGTATTATGCGACTAAGGATTTGAAACAATGTCCGATACCAGCAGAAGTAAGTGGAAATTTAATGTGTAGCTGAGCATTAGCATCGATTTATCAGTCAAGAATTAAAAAAACGAACATTCTTTTCTCAGACAGTGTGGTTCTTTGACATGGTTCCAATAAAGTGGCCCAAATCACTTTTAAATGCTATTCCACCTCACTATATGGGAAGATGGAGGATATCTTATGATGGAGAATATAAGGAAGCAGATGGAACTATTAGAAAAGATTGTCAACGTGGATATGGTGATGCTTTTATTGACTAAGTTGAATTATTTTTTGGATTTTGAATAAAAAAGAGTTGGAGCGCCTAATTCATTTAATAAACTGCAAACTGTGTATTACTTTTAAAGTACATTAAGAATAATGCGGAACTGTAAATAAAATTCAATGAAAAAGAGCAAAAAGTTTTGATTCTTAAGTTTTTTTTAATTCTCATTTTTTTGGTAATTTTATTTACAGACATAATTCATAAGCATGTCTTTATACAATCCAATATTCAATTAATCCATTTAAAATGCGGTCGGTTATGATTGGACGTTTTGGTTTCAAGTCATTTTAAAAATGTGAAAATCTATTGTTTTACAAAACTGTTACGATAATTTAAAGTTGCAGTTATTGACAGAGCAGCATATTGGAATAAGGTGGATGGAAGTCATTAAGAAATTATCGTAATTTATGGAGAAATGTAATGATTTTCACATTTATAGAATGAGGAAGTAAGGATAGTTTAAAGTAGATTAATCTTAGTAAAGGAGTGGAAAGAGCAGTTCTGAATGGCAGGAGGTTTCAGGTTCAATTCTCAGTAATTAATTAAAATTTAATACCAGTTTTGTTCTTTCTCGTATCTTGAGTCATATGAACCATCATCTTCTTGTCCATAATGTCCGTGATGTGATTGTTGTGCCTTAGCTTCAGCAACAAGAGCAAAGTGCTTTGCCTTCTCGTGTTTGACTTCTGGGGTTTCGACTGGGACACCATTGTGGATTGTTGGATAATGATATGGTCCGGTATAAACATTTTGTGATTTCCATTCATCATGAGCTTGAGCATAATGAACTGGTGCATAGTGAGCTGGAGCGTAGTGTGCACCGCTGTGGGAAAGTTTGGATTTAGCATCAGCAACTAATGAGAAATGGACAGCTTTAGCATGTTGAACTTCAGCAGTGTCGACTGGAACTCCGTTAACTGGTAATGGTGCTGCTTCATGTGCATAATGATTGTAGTGAGCTGAAACAATTGGGGCAGCATGATGGTTATCTTTCCATGCCAATTCTGGGTGATAGACCAATGGATTAGCTGGTAAGCCTTGGAGAGCACGTTGGTGAGCAGCAAAGTGGAGAGCTTTTTCATGTTGAACTTCTGGTGTGTCGACTGGTCCATAAGCTGATCGTTTATGATGATGATGTAATCTTGCCTTAGCTTCAGCATGAGCGGCAAAGTGAGCATGTTCAGCAGCAAGAACTTCATAAGTTTTTGATGGAGCAACTGGAGCATAAGCTGGGATATCCCAATGAGCATGATGAGCGATTACTGGAGCAACAGCATGAACTGGTGCTGGGCCTTTTGGTAAATTTGTTGCTGAAACAACTTGGAAACCGTGATGTGGATCAGCTACATATTTTACTGATTGAACATGACCATGAGCATCTACATATGAATATCCACCGTGGAGTGATCCATCATGTGATTTTGATTCATGCTTGGTGCTAAGTGGATCTGAATAACCATATCTAATTATTGGAAAGAAAGAAGATGATTATTTTAAAGAATTTGAAAATTAGTAATTTAAATTCTGAACTTACGAGTATCCACCAAGTCCGTCTTGAGCTTGATATTGAGTTGAAATTGCGCCATATAAGCTTGCAGAGCAAGAGGCGACGAACAATGTTGCAATTACCTATGAATTATATTTTCACATTAGTCGATCGATATTTTTTTTTTATGTAAGAATGTGAATAAAATTTTTGTTATTCATTTAAAGCAATGCAAATCATGTTATTAAATTGCGCAATTTTCTCTTATATTTCAATTTTTTTTCTTTTCTTTTCTGCTTGCGGTTTGCACAAGAATTGAAACTTCATATGATTGCAAATATGTATCTTGTTTTTTTCGAAATTTGAAATTAATGAAGGCTGGGGGGGATTTTTATTTTTTCAACTGGACCCTCTAAAGGTTTTGGGATCTTAATAAAGAAATTTTTTTAGAGAGTAAGGGGCAACCCCCCCCCCCCCCTCTCCTGCTCATGCCCCTGATTAAAATTCTTTTTATTGAAAAAACACTAACGATTGTTTCTTTTTGCTCATACAGGTGAAACTTTTCGCTTATTAAATTGCTCGAGTTTACGCTTCATTTATAATGGCTAGCTATTATTTTGTTGCACTCAGTTATTTCCTAATTTTTTAATTTTAATTGATTTCTCTTTAATTGCTTGCAAAATTACTCTTATTCACTTGTTATGTTATGTAAAAAAATTAGATCCCCCCCCCCCCCTATTTTTTTAAATATTTTTCCTTTGTTCTTTGTTTTAACAGTTTCAAATTCCTAAAACCCCACAGCGAATGCTTTAAATAAGCATTAATATTCACAAAACTGTAAATGACCTTAACAATCACTTTAATTATTTATCACTTGATTCTTTGTATACTTACGAATGCTTTCATTTTAAGTATTATTTTTTTGAAGATTTAAAATTTTAAAAGAATAGAAAAGTGGAAACTAAAAAAGAATGCTGCAGAAACCTCCTAGTGGATACTAAGACTGTTTCAAACTGTGATTCAAACATACCAATCCACTAGCTTTTATACGAAAGCAAAACAACAGTTTTTAATTTTCTACAAAATTAATAATACAGACAGTGCAATTCAGAGTAAGCAAGCAGGTAAGTAGGGGCAAGTGAGAAAAGAAAGAAGTAGTATAGAAGTGGTCATTCGTAACCGATGGAAGTGCATTTATTTCATAAAGAATTCGAGTAGAAAATATAATTTCAGATAAGTTGTAAAATATTCAAAAAATAACGGTATTTAATTGCACAATTTAAGATAAAAACATTGAGATATGGAAATTGAAAAAAAAGCAGTGAGATTTTTTATAAAGGTGCAGCAACAAAAAGTCAAAAATTCAGGAAAATATAGCATTACTGGCAGACAGACAGACAAAAAGCGGACTGAAGCATCACATGTGCTAAAAAAATTAAAAGCAATCCAAATGTAGTTATTAACTTTATTGCTAAATTGAGCTGGAAAAAATGAAAATTGATCCAAAAAAGAAAACGATTCTGGAGGGACTCGAACCCCCAATCTTCGGATTCGAAGTCCGACGCGGTAGCCATTTCGCCACAGAACCGATTTTGATTGATGTGTAAGGATAGAAAAAAAAGCATTGATAAAATACAAATGACTTTATGAATTATTTACAATTTGGGGGTTGTTTCTAAATGATGTCAAATTTTAAAATAGTAATTAAATTGTCATTGAGAGGAAAGAGAAGTGAAAATATCAAATATCGAGTTGAAGCAACACATAAATTGGGCTATGCTCTTTTATAAATGTGAAATGCAGGAGCTCAGAAGACTTTTTTTCAGGAGGGGGGGGGGGGGGGGGGGTGATAAGTTTTAAACGTTTTTTATAAGAAAAATCTAAAGCAATTTAATGAACAAAAACCCTAGCAAATTGAAGAATTTTTGCCCAAAGAGGGGGGGGGGGCTTTTGTCTAATGATAATAGCAGCAAAAAGATCAAATGGCTTTATTGGAAGTCTTCATTGAAACAAGACAAATCAAACAATTTCATCTTTTTTCTCATAAATATCTTAATCAATAATTTAATTTCACTTGAGTCAAACTTTAAAAGCAGAAAAAGAGCATTAAAAGCACAAAAAGATTTCTAGTTTCATTTAAATTTCATTTGTTGATTTCTTCTTCAACTAGAAAAGAGAAAGCCAAAATGGCGCTGAAATGAAAAAAAAAAAAAAAAAAAAAAAAAAATCTAGAAAAAGTTTCTCATCTTTTTAACATTTTTTTATCTCGAAGCTAATCCATTTTAAAATGATTATAAATTTGTGAATTTAGACGTAGTGCAAACGAACTTTATGTTCATATAAAAACCTTATTAAATAGTTTAAGGAGAGAATATTTCCTTTTTTTGTGGTGAAAAAGTAAGTTTGGAAGTTACCAAATCAGGTGTTTTTAGCGAATTTTTTAAAAATATTTTAAAATCTATGATTTATAAATTGAAAAAAAAATATATTACATTGGAATTTTAAAATTTGAAAATGTAAAAAATTTAAAATTCAAAATATTCAACATTCAAAAATTAAAAGAAATTAAAAATTTGAGCTTCAAACCCAAACTGAATAAAAAGAGTCTCAAAGCTCAAACAAGCTTCATCCCTCCTAATTCTCTCTCACACAAATCGAGCATCTCATAAGAAGTTAAGATTTATGGCAATTCGAAATAATCTTCTTTTTCCACTTAAAAGTGTTCATTCTCATACTTCAAGACAAGAAAAGAGCATGAGAACAGCCATTAGATGAAGTAGAAATAATAAATGAATAAATGAGAAAAAAAAACTTATCGATTTAAAGTTTAAGTTTTTTTTAAGGGCTGGCGGTTATTTGAGAAGAGCAAAAAGATATTTTTAATAATTCGGAGTCTTTTCTGTTTTAATGATAATTTTGTTTTACACTTTAAGTTTTGTGTCTTAGACTTGATTTTATAGACATTTATTTTCAGCTTCATTAATTTCATGTCCAAACGAAGACCAAGGCCAAAGCTAATAGGTGGGGGGTTGAGTAAATGGGTCAAATTACTCCTCCAAATAATAATATATCAATTAAAGTTTAATTAAATAATTTTACTTCATTTCAATTGCTTGATATTTAGGTCATATTTTCTTTTTTTGAATGAGCTTTTTCTTATGAAATCAATATGAATGAAATCTTAACAAATATTATTTCAAAAGCTTATTTCTGAACCAATTAAGTTTGCTCTTTCATAAAAGTAAGTTTCACAAATAATAATTTAAATTTCTAATTTAATTATTTATACTAAAATGGAACTTATTTATGACTCAGTTTCAATTAAATTATTTATCAAAGACAATTCATCTGAATGGAATGAGAGTCAGGTGTTTTACGGAAAAGGTGAGTTTATTGATAAGAGCATCAAAACATGTTTGTCATAAAAAAAGATCCCCGGTTTGATAACCTCATTTCTGTTTTTTTTTCCAATTTTTAATTATTCAGGTTATTATTATTATTATTATTATTATATTTATTAAAACTTTCAAGAGCCAGAGCTTTGTCATGACTTTGTTACAATATTATTATATTTAATTGATAAGTTCCAATGATTTAATAAAAAATCTTTGAAGGAACTTATGAAATATAAAACGGTATTTTACGATTCAAAAAACTTAACAGTTGTTAACGGTTGTTCTTAATTCAAAATAAAGTTCAAAAATTGATCATTCGTTTGTAAACAGAAAATTTGTGGAGAACTTAACCTAAATTGGATAAACTCTAGGATTTCAGGATGAGACTAGTGTGGTGCTAGCTTGGAATCAGATTAGCTTTTTAACAAAGATTTAGGTAAGAATAAATCACGCAAACCTTAGTTTTTACTACTCGATTTCTTGCAATTCAAGAACTCAACTCTGGAGCTCAAAAGAGGATCAAAAACCAAAATCTAGCAAATAATGATGTATCAAATATTCAGACAGACTGTAAATGTATCCTCGTGTCAATAATTCGGTCGTGAATTTTACAAAAATATTTAAACAGATGAATAAGCTACGCACCTACATATTTTGTCGCTATTTCATTCCTATTCTCTTTTTTGTTGTTGTTGTAGGCTTCAATATCATCATTATTAATATTTTATAAATTTGTATAAATTTTGAGATGACTTTATCAAGTACTTCAGTTTTATTTTAGTATCACTTAGAAAAGGTTGTGAAATAATTTAGAATCTCCATTTTAGGAGTAAATAATAATTATTGTGAATTTAAATTATTTATTTTAAAAAAGCCTTCATCAAAAGTTTTAAAAGTCGATCAATAAATTAGTCTAAAATTTTTATTACCAAAAAATAAATTCTTAAAAAAATGTGGGAAATTTTAATATTTTTCTCAATATCTCTGCCATTCCCATCACACTCTTATTCCATATATCAAGATTCTTACTCATCGTGGGCATCAAAATATTACATAAATTTTAAAAACTCTACTGAACCTCCACCATCTAATGCCTATCAACATAACATAGATTTAATCAATGAACACAATTCAAAAGATGATGATTTTGAAGCTGGACTTAACAAGTTTTCCTACTTATCAACTGAACAATTTGTTGACAATTTTTGTGGAACTGTTTTGCCAAAAAAGTTATTATTAAGTAATCCAAAATTATTATCAGCACGTAAACTTAATAACTTTGATGAAGAAGATTTGCCAGAATCAATAAGTTGGAAAGAATTTGCATCTCCATCAAGAGATCAAGGAGATGAATGTGGATCGTGTTGGGCATTCTCAGTAATGGCATTGATCGGTAAGTTAATATTTATTTCATAATAAATTGATTCTTCTCTAATTTCTTTTTAGAAACCCAAAATAGAATCAGAAACTACATGTGGAATAAATCTTTAGCGCCACAATATCTTGTTGATTGTCATAAAAAGAAAGATAAATGTAGAGGCGAGTGGCCAGCTGATGCACTAAGTGAGGAAGCAAATATTTTTATCATATTAGATTTTTTAAGGTTACCTGCTGAGATAAATCTCTAAAGTTAATTTTGTATGCTACATTGTTTTAAAAATGAAGTAAAATAGTAGCTTCAGGTCACCTGTAGATTAGTCGATTCAATACTTCTCCACTTAAGCCTTACATGGACTTGCTGCCACTGTTTTGAAACTTTTCTGCATCATGTGTTTTCCAGTAGCTTAATCAAGCTTAATTTTCATGTATAATTAAAATTAATACAAGTAGACCACTAATATAATTTTTTGGCTCCATCCTAGTTAAGTCTCAACCTAGCTGCAGACCTTCATTTCAAAATAACTACTTTATAATTATCAATTAATTACTTTTCAGGATTCCTCAAATTTAAATCCCGCAATCAAGCACCAACTGAAGAGGATTATCCCTATACTGGCGAAGAAGATGATTGCGAGAGTCATGGAGTTCCAAAAGTTCCACTTAATATTAAAAATATCTACGATTATGACATCGAGGCTGATGAAAATAAATTGAAATATCATTTAGCAAATTATGGGCCAATAATCATCGCAATGAATGTCGACAGGAACTCTGGATTGTTTCAGCATTATAAGAAAGGTGTTTTTTATGATGAAGGATGCATAAAGTCTGATAAAGATTGTAAAACTATCAACCATAGTATGCTGCTGCTTGGATATGGAATTACTGAGGATAGCAAGAGGAAGCCTTACTTTTTGGTTCAAAATTCTTGGGTAAGATCATTTTAAATCAACGGTACGAATGGTTACTAGTGGCTAAGGTTGACTGTGACTCATTACTACGACATAATATCTGTTGACCAGAGATCGAAGCCGATTTTTTCGGCTTAACTCAATTTTTGATTTTTTTGATAAAAAAAATCAAGTTAAAGAATGTTAAGCCGAAATTTAAGCCGATCGGCTTAAAATCGGCTAAATTGAAATTCAGAGCTTACTATAGCTACATGCTGAAAAAATATTTCACAGAATCATAGTAAAGCATGTAAAGTTCAATTTAAATACTTAAAATGGGTGTTAAATGGCTTTTTTCTATCAAAATAATCAAAAATTGAGTTAAGCCGAAAAAATCGGCTTCGATCTCTGCTGTTGACCTTCTTTGAAGTTGATTCTGATTTTAACGAGTCAAATCAGTGTTTTTATAGCACCTTAGTATAAGCAATAGTGATCAAACCCTTATTATTTGAGCTTCTTCAGTGACTTATATATTTTTTTTGAATTGTAGGGCTCAGACTGGGGTGAAGATGGCTTCATCAGAATGGCTATGGGTAGAAGCAATAATTGCAATATTGCTTGTTATGCAATTTACGTAGACTACAGCTAGTAATCAGCTTTAAATAATTATCATTTTTGAATTTTATAAATTATGTGAAATATATTTTATATTAAGTTTAAAGATCAAAGCATTACAGAAAGCTGACCATAAACTAAAATCAAAAAGTTAATTAAATTCCAGCAAATTAAAAAACAATATTTTTTCAATTTTCATGCTCCAATTTTTATGTTTCAAAAACACAAAATTATTTTTAAATCAATTACCATAATTCACAGCAGAACGAGAATTTTTTTTTTTCATCGTCATGCACCCTCAACAAAGTTCTTGCATGTAGCAGAAGGCATGCAAAGATCAGCATAAAAAAAAATCGTTGTTTGCACATGAAAAATATCCATCATGCACTTCAGCTTACTTCATTCTTTTTTTTTGTGTTGTCTTTTTTGAGGGATAATGGATGTGGTTGTTGAAGATTTGTCTGATTGTCAGCCTGGAAGTGAGATTAAATCAGTTTTAATAGTTTGGAATGAGGATAGCTGTAGATGGTTACGCTTCTGGTGTCAACAGATGACCAGGTGATGGTTCTTAATAACCAAACCTTAAAATCAAGTCAAGTAGGTTGTAAAAGACTTGAATGTCTCAAATGTTAATAAACCAGAGCTAGAAGTCGATACAGTTCCTGTTTGAAGTTGAATAGACTCAACGATGTCGTCTTCGTCTCATGCTCTTTATTTACTGTTGAGCTAATGGAGTAGAGAGGAACCATATCATTCCTAAGTGGTTTGCAAGTGGTTCGGATCCCACTATAAACTGTAGATCTAAAGGGTGTGGTACAAAAGATTCTGTTCTAATTTTAATATCAGTGCCTCCAGCTGAAAGGCTGGGCCCTTCACATATTATTATTATACCATTCCCAAACACGAGTATACATAACTTAAGTGTTACTTAAACTCACTGCTCAGATCATCATCAAAACTGCGCTGCAATCTATTTTAAACCCTTTTAATCGACATCAAATCCTCAAAAAAAAAACACACTATCTCTAAAAAGAACTAGCAACAGCAGCAAGTGATGATAAAACAGCACAAAAAAACACCTCTCCTACTTCCTCATTCTCCTACATATTTTTTTTTAATTTTATCTCAATCGCTTATGTTCGTGACTTGAAAAGATTACAACACAAACAATTCATGGAAGTGAGAAGGATTTCACTTCCATAATCCATCATTATTTCTACATTCATTTATTTCTGCTCTCTCCATATAAACATATAGACACACGCTAGCTCGACTTGCTTGTGCAGACAAGCTTATCATCAAGCTTCTCCTTTCTCATCTCCACTTCCTTTTCTTCTTTGCATGCATTCAATAGCAATAATAATAAAGGGAAGCAACAACAACAGCAACAGCAACAAAAGACGAATGAACGACGATGAGAAAATTTCATGTGGCATGGCTTGATGGAAAAAAATAAATAAATAAGTAAAGAAAGAAGTATAAAACATGCTATGAACTATTCATTATCACGATTCACGATAGTTTGCTAGTTTGTTTAGGTTTATATTTTTTTCTGGCATCTCTCGTGCTTTCATGGTAATGGAAAAAAGACGAGAAAAAAATTATCAGAGTCATCAAGGAGGAAAGGAATGTGAGACAGGACAGCGGTTGTTTTGGTTGGTTAGAGGATTTTTTTTTTCAATGTTTGATTTATGGAATGTGTGAAGGGGAATTTTGGTTTATTTTTTAATTAAGTCTGAGCTGTTGATTATGCATTTATCTGAGACAGACGGGATTTGATATGGATGTGTCTATATAAGAGAGTAACGAGGGGTTTTCAGGATCAGTAAATTTTCTTTGACAAGTGTAGACCATAATTTTTGAATTTTGTGTCCACTCGTGATTTCAGGGCAGACGTCTTATTTTGATAGCTATTCAGATGAGGTATGAAACCCTCCTTTAAAAATGTCTACAGAATATATTGTGAATACCGATGCACGCTATATAAAGCAAAGTCCTATAAACCCAAACCTGAGGACGTCCGATAAACACATGGAATTCTATCAGCTCCTATGACATACACTTGTCATATCCAATAAGACTAAAATAAACCTAAAAAACTAGAACTCGATTAAAGGTCGTTCACTTATTACGTCCAACATTTAGGGGGGAGGGGGGTCAAAAAAATTGAGACAAATTGTGACAGGGGATAGAGGGGGCTCTGAAAATTAGGTTTTGTCATAATTGAACGGCCCTTATCAAATCCAACAATTTGATTCACACTTATTAAAATTTCACTATCTTAACAAGCTAATCAAACTCTTTCCATAACTTATTCAGTCTACAAAAAAGCTACATAAATCCAATAAAATCAACAGCACGTGAAAGTTATGAAAATTATTCACAAAACCCTTCTTTTATGCTTTGCACTTCAATTAATAAGAATGAAAAATCTCATCCATAACGTGCATGAATGGAAAGAATTTATTTTTCCTCTTACAAATAAAAGAGAGCTAAGAATGTGAGGTAAAAAAATAACAGAAATTAATTAATTACATTCCATCTAGCCACCATATTTCTCCACCTTATTCAATGCTCGAGTTAAACCAACATTTACAAATCACAAAACGGTCAGTAATCGATTGTGCGTTGCCAATGTTAACAAAGCGTAAAACACCTACGGTGAGAAAAATCTACCGTGATAATTTTTAACATAGTTTTTGGGGGTAAAGGGGCTTTTTGGATGGTAACTTGCTTGGCAGTTTTGGTAATGATTCGAGATTTAATGGCAAAGCCTTAGCAAAAGAGGTCTTTAAATTTTACATTTGTGTATTTATTCTGTTCCCAAACCCAAGTGACTTCATTTCTTTTGTTGCTTCGTAAATACAACAGTCACTTCTCAATAAATCCATCAATAAAATGCGCCTTAGTGCTAATAATTTTCAACACTATCCCCCACTCCTAACTGAGGTTCATTCTTTATTTCTTCCTCATTTCTCTGTTTCCTTCAAACACCTACTTACATTTTCCTCGCATTTGATTTATTTAATCAGAATATCATGGCATGAACGGATAGCGTGCTTGATATTTGAACTAGAAATTGAAATGAAATAATTCTTTAGAAGTGGAATGAAAAATAAACCAAATCTGTGTGCTTTACGGAGTGATGGATGTGGATAAAATGAATTTTAAAAGGAAAGTTTGCATAGATGAATTTGGAATTTTTTGGAAGAGTCTAGAATGAGTTTTGTTTGATGATTCTAAAGGTTATTATTTGGGGATTAATCTATGATATTCTGATTCTCATCCAGGGCGGAAATAAAGCGCCAAATCTTTACTACGAACTTGACATTGCTGTAAGGGCACTGAATACAGAAATACAACTCTAAATATGTTTAATTCGGTCAAAGAGGATTTGGGGGCATATCCCACTTCGTCATTAGATTTTTTTTTCATTTTGCTAGGGATTTTATGAAAAATTTGCAAAAATCCACCCCCTTACCCCCCCCCCCCCCTTCCCCCTAAAATTTTTCCTTCCAAAAAAAATGTTTTTTTACATCCCCCCTCACTCCCTTTTAAACTCCAGGGGTGGGTTTCTCAGTAAACACCTACACCTAAACTTACACCAACACTTGCACCTGGTGTATGCACTGGTGTATACACTAATGTATCCCCTTGGGTAGGCGTAGGTGTAAGTGTAGATGTAGGTGCATGCCGAGAAACCCACCCCTGGCTGCACTCCTGTTCGATAGTGATTATTAACAAACTATAAGCGCCCTACAACCTTTAAATCGCATTAAACGCCTTCACATTCATCCACATCTTAATAAATGTCTCATTAAATTATACTCAAAATATTTGTCTATCCCACACACAACACCTAAATCATTCCATTGAACTTGTCTTTATGTTTCTCACAGATTATTCACATCTCATCTATTAGTCTTCAATTTAGACGAGTAAAAAGTATTTGTGAGATTCACGTGAAAGATAATATCGCTAATTAATCATCAAAGTGATGTACTTGAGAGTGCTGTGATATTAATTTTCATAGCTGTGTTTTTGGAGAATTTTCAGCTAATTGTGGATTTTTCTTTATGTAGCAGTTTTGATCCAATTTCATAATTTTAAATTTATTTGAATTAAAATTGAATTTTTAAAAATAATTTTTCAAAAACTTACCAAATTTGCAAACCTAACTTGCCGTCTCCCATCCACTTCATAATCCTCCAAAGATGAATCGCCCATTAATTTTCCTTAAAAAAATGTCTCAATAGTTCAACGAATCGATACATCACAAAGTCATACGGTAAACATCAAATTACATTAATTGAGACATTTAATTCTAAATAAATTTGAACAAATTGTTGCGATCAAAATGATTGATATGCTGTAGATTGGCAGCATCAACAGTTTTCGTGCTGCTTCTCCCTTCACAGAGAATGAGGAGCAAAGTTTAATAAGCTTGTGTGCATGCATGACTAAAGCATAATTTTTCAAGAAGTTTTGAGTGAGTGGGGTGGTGGATGTGGGGCTGAAAATCACGATCATATTTCTTCCACCTCATATATGGCTCTTAAGAACCCTCACATGGGAGCTATATTGAAGTATATTATTCATTTTTTTTTTGTTCTCTCCTCACATGAGGAGCTAAGTAGGGGATGTGTGGAGGTTAAGTTGCATTTTATGAATGCCTTCTGATGCTCTCTAGATTCTTACAGTTTTAGATTTTTTTTTCCTCACAAATCATAGAAATTATGACGTGACACCACACATGCACAACCCCTTTTTATTCATGCTCCAATAAAAGAAGAAATTTTTCTCCATCTTTGTCTAGATGCTCCTTTCTAAATCAATTGTGTGTGAGCAATTTATCAAATTTATGAAAACACTTAATTTTTTACAATAAAAGAAATTTTGTTCCTTCTTCTGCTTTTGTTTTACTTTCGTGTAAGACTTTTCAAGGGAAAATTGAATGTGAAGGGAGAAAATTTTCATGGTGAGCTTCATTCTTCTTGTTAACTCTTGAAGATTGGCAATGAAAGAGAATTTTTGGATTTCAATGTTTTTGAATAATGAAGAGTTAAATTCATTTTAATTTAGATTTTTAAAATGGTTGGAATTTTTTTTTGCTTTTTGAGCTTAGTTTATTTATTTGAATGGGGTCAAAACTGATGTCCAATAGAGGCGAAA